TTAGTTGTATCAGTAATAGGTTTAAAAAATTGTTTTGTATCCTCCTCAAATTCAACTTGAGATTCCTGACGCGATTGTAATTGTTCCTTAACAGAATCACGAACAGGCAGATATTTTTTAATTGCCTCTAATCGCTCTCGAACTAATTTAGCTGAGTGTGGTTCTCCAATACTAATTATTGATAATATTTATAATGGCTGTTTAATTCATAGCAGCAGAGAGGGTGAAGGACAACAATTGAGTCGCTTTACTCGTAAACAAAATCGCTTGACAAAATCATAAAAATACGTCAACAAAAATAAACTAACCAACGATTTTATTATAAGATTAAATATATAATCGTGTGGAAAGAGACTTTGGTTTAGCATTGTTGACGTTTTATTTTCTCAGCCCCTGCAGGAACCTTTATTTTTTTTTAAAAAAAAAAAACGTTTCAGGCTAAGTTGTCTGTTCAGCCTCTGGCTAGTTTGGTTAAAAATCTTCCCGATTGTGGTCTGATAGTTGGCGTGTAGAAATTATAAAAAGAGTTTTGGATATGTGTGTCGGGAAATGCTGGATGGTACACATTGTGTGATGGATAGCACGTTGGTGAGATTTCAACTCATTTTAAAATCTACACTAACAAAAGATTTTTGGATAGTACGTACCTTTACGGATGGTGTATGATAGTATGTTTGCAAGATTTTATTTAATGTTGTTTAATATAATTGTGAGATTTCATGTCCTTCTTATGCATTATTCTTCTGATCGTTATTGTGGGGACTCTATACAAGGTTTTGGGATAGTATGTATTGATTGTTGAATTGATGCATGGTGTGATGGATAGAACGCACTGATTGTTGTATTGATAGTTGGTGTGATGGATAGAATGCATTGATTGTTGGATTGATAGTTTATGTGATGGATAGAACGCACTGATTGTTGGATTGATAGTTGGTGTGATGGATATAATCACTTATTGTTAGATTGATAGTTGGTGTGTTGGATAGAATGCACTGATTGTTGGATTGATAGTTGGTGTGATGGATAGAATGCACTGATTGTTAGACTGATAGTTGGTGTGATGGATAGAACGCACTGATTGTTGGATTGATAGTTGGTGTGTTGGATAGAATGCATTGATTGTTGGATTGATAGTTGGTGTGATGGATAGAATGCCCTGATTGTTAGATTGATAGTTGGTGTGATGGATAGAATGCACGGATTGTTGGATTGATAGTTGCTGTGTTGGTTAGAATGCATTGATTGTTGGATTGATAGTTGGTGCGATAGATATAATGCATTGATTGTTGGATTGATATTTGGTGTGATGGATAGAATGCATTGATTGTTGGATTGATAGTTGATGTGATGGACAGAATGCATTGATTGTTGGATTGATAGTTGGTGTGATGGATAGAATGCACTGATTGTTAGATTGATAGTTGGTGTGATGGACAGAATGCATTGATTGTTGGATTGATAGTTGGTGTGATGGATAGAATGCAATGATTGTTGGATTGATAGTTGGTGTGTTGGATAGAATGCACTGATTGTTGGATTGATAGTTGGTGTGATGGATAGAATGCACTGATTGTTAGATTGATAGTTGGTGTGATGGATAGAATGCATTGATTGTTGGATTGATAGTTGGTGTGATGGATAGAATCACTTATTGTTAGATTGATAGTTGGTGTGTTGGATAGAATGCACTGATTGTTGGATTGATAGATAGTGTGATGGATAGAATGCATTGATTGTTGGATTGATAGTTGGTATGTTGGTTAGAATGCACTGATTGTTGAATTGATAGTTGGTGTGTTGGTTAGAATGCATTGGTTGTTGGATTGATAGTTGGTGTGTTGGTTAGAATGCACTGATTGTTGGATTGATAGTTGGTGTGATGGATAGAATGCATTGATTGTTGGATTGATAGTTGGTGTGATGGACAGAATGCATTGATTGTTGGATTGATAGTTGGTGTGATGGACAGAATGCATTGATTGTTGGATTGATAGTTGGTGTGATGGATAGAATGCATTGATTGTTGGATTGATAGTTGGTGTGATGAATGGTATGGAATGATTGTTGGATTTATACATTGTGTGATGCGTAGTATCTTTTGATTGCTAGATTGATAGATGGTGTGATGGAAATATGTGCATTGTTTGTTGGATTGATAGATGATTTGATTGATTGTAGGTTTACATAGAGTTTATTTGAACCCTTCAAGATTAATCGGATAGTTGGTGTTTGTGAAGTTTTTAGAGTGTCTATATTGAATGGTATACATTGTTTGATATGTAATATGTTTGTTGGATTTCATCTCCTTGGTTTCAGATCTTTTCCTTTTGGTCTGATATTTAGTATGTCGCGACCATATGAGGATATTTTTGAATGTATTTATAGGATATTGTATGATATAAGTGATATGTTAGATAGTGTCTTTGTTTGATTTCATCTTTTTATTTTTAACCATTGCTTCTAATGATTGTTTTGGGGACACTGTAGAAAGCATTTTGGATTGCATTTGAAAAATAAATGGGCCCTGGATTGCTTGAATAATCATCAAAAATGGGGGGGGGGTAAACAGAAGAGGTGATGTGATGGATAGTTTTTTTTCCTGCATCTTATTCTTTTACACATTAGATGTTTCCTCTGATAGTTGGTGTGGGACTTTAGGCACTACACAATGGGTTCTCAGATTGTTTGAATGGTGTGATGGATGGAATAGTATATTTGTGCGATTTCATTTCCTTCCTTTACACTGTCACAACATCGCTACGATATTAAAAAACGAACGCTGCAGAAGGTGTGCATTAAATTTTAGCGACTCTTGAACTCCCAATCAGTAATACCGACATTCAAAATACAAAAAAAAACCCAACTCGAGGTTAGATAGACAACAATTTTATCAAATGTAAATACAAATTCAAATAATTTCTAGACATAAATCTTCAATTTTAATAATAATTTTGACCTGATGCTACAGTTCAATATACTCTTGACACAAAAACTTGTCTGTTTCACCAAATGCTACTTGACACTTTAATTCATCACATTAAACTCAATGCTCTATTGTGAGAGTCCCGTTTTAGTACGTTGGCCCCTGTATTCGTCTGTTATTAATGTTTCTTTCTTCTTTCTTCCTCCTCCTGTAATACGTGCTTCGTATGTGCTCCTTGAATTTTACTTGGATTCCTTTTCCTTCCTCCTCCCGACTCCGTCTTTCTTATTCTCTTGGTGTCGTCGCTACTAGCACCGTGTGGGCTTCCTGAAGAAATATAACTGATGAATACTCTCTCCCTACCCTACTCCTAAAAAATTCTAGTTCTCATGGAGTTTCCATCCGACTAATGGGCGACAACTTTGCCATGCCTTTGCACATACTAATTCCACTTATCTTATGCATGTTTTGATCTCTACGTACGAGTAGCATTACTCAATGAATTTTTGTAATACACAGGCACTTCATATAAATGTTGATATGCTCGGACACAGCAGTCTACTCATAGTTAATGAGTAATCATTAATAATGGATGTGTCCTAGGAATTAAAAATTTGATCCATATAAATACATATGTACATAAATCTAACTCGTTCTAGATTGGCATTGTTTTCAATTTACATTCTGATAATATAAGTTCCCGTTATAATTTAGTGTCTAAAACATTCAACTGTACGTTATAATTCAATATTCTGATAAATTCACCTATCTGTCCAAATCAAAGACGAAGTGTCGGCCAAAATACCGTTTTACCTTTAGAGGCTTGTTTTAGCTAGTTCAAAATCCCTTTCTTTTACGAGTTAAGTCTCGGTGTGGCTTGGATCTATAATTTCCTCCTGAACATAAAGTTTCCGCTCTAAAACGTTTCTACCCTTCGAGAATTAGCAGCACACTAACATTTCACTGTACGTTTCAGAATAAGATTGACGCATTTTTTTTTTCAAATGATAAACTCCTCTCATCGGGAGATTTGGCAACTCTCATCCCTAATTGGTCGATACGCTTATCGTTTGGTTTTCTTTCTGGTCCAGGTTTTTTCAAACTTTCTTGGCATGAAGAATCCGACCTGACTATGCCTTTTGAAAATAACCAGTAATGCAATAGATTAAATAATTTTGAAACCAATTTGAGAAAAATAATCACGTAGCTCATAAGTGAAAAGACCAGCCCAAAGCTATGATTTCCTTCAGTTACTTGCATACACAATGCACTATCTTTTGATAGTTGGTATGGAATTGGGGGCACTACACAATTCGTTTTTGGATTGTGTGTATGGTTGTTGGATGATATAAGTGTGTTTCGATAGCATATTTCTGCGATTTTATCTCCTTTTTCACAATACCCCTATCTTCTAAAAATATTGGTGTTGGTGTGAAAGTTTGGGCATTGCACAGTGCGTTTTGGATGGTTTGTATGATGTAATGGATAGTATGTTCGATAGATGATATCTCCTTCTCTTTCATTCTAAGGTAATACATAGTGTTGTGTGTCTGTGTGTCTATGTGTGCCTGTGTGTGTGATTTATATTTTTAACGTAGCTTTAACTATTATCCAGTCATATCGTTACGATGTTTGCAGTTGGAAGTTTTTAGTGATATCTAAAAACTGGGACATCATGCCACAAGCATGTAGCATGATGTCCCATCCAGTCACATTATTCTGACACCAGGCCGACCAGTCCTAACACTAAACTCTTAATGCAGAGCGCTAAGCAAGACAGCTCTTAGTACCATTTTTGTAAGACTCGGCCGTGGTTCGAACCCGCGATTTCTCGCATCCAAAGCAGACATTCTAACCACTTAGACCACCGAAGCAGTTCAAAGGGTTTTGGATATTGTGTGTTGATTGGGATATATTGTTATGTATATATTAGTGCAATGGATAGTACATTGAGATATTTCAACTCTTTTAATTATATTTTAAGCTAACAAGGCGTATTAGATAGTGTGTTATTTGATGTTGGATTATAAAGGTGGTGTGAGATTTATTTTTTTTAACCACCAACCCAACACAAAGGATTTTGGACATGGGGAGTTCAATATTATTGGTGGCAAAGGATAGAATGTTTCAGATTTTTTAAAATTTTGTTTTAAACTCTTAGGTTCCATAAGGCATTTTAAGTGTGTGTGTATGGGGTGATAGAGGGTATAGGTGTTGTAATGAATAATATATTTGTTAGGTGTAGTTATGATTTAAAGCCTTCTCTAGATTTGTCTAATGGTCGTTTGTGTGAAGACTACCCCAGACAGTATGATTGTGTGGGGGAGTGCTCGTCTGTTTTCAAAGTATTAGTAATTCATAGTCTTGCCATGATAAACGAGTGAGAAGCAACAAGCTTTGTAAAATTCAACACATAATTTATTTTCCAGAATACAAAATGAAAAAATGAACTTAGTGTTACGAATTAGTCGAACTAATCCTTTCATTACTAGTACAGTATAGGTCTGAATAATCTTTGTTGGAATTCCATATAATATCCAGTACTGAAGGTGTTAATGTTCCTGTAGTTGCTGGTAGTCTCTGATATACCAATATACCTAATTGCCTGAATTGTAATGATTTGCCATTCTCTGTGATATCTTCCAAAAGACAATATGATCGAAAATAGGTGATCTGCCTATCATTGTTTGATGTTTTTAGGAACATAGGAAAAGCATAATATTGGAGGCGTCTGAGAACACGGTACTCGTACATTTAACCAAATGTACTCGTAAATACTACTGACTGAATAAAAGTATTCTCAAAATTTGCAGGAAACTGATTAATTTATATATATATATATATATATATATATATATATATATATATATATATATATATATATATATATATATATTAACGTTGAAAACATCAATCCTCAGCTTTATGCAAACGTTATTGAATATATTTTTGCTCATGTAAATGGCTTGGATAATGTTAATGCCGCGACATCTAATTGATTTGAGTATATGGGAGAAGCGTCCGGAAGTTCCAACACTTTGTAGATTTCACATCAACGCGATCCATCATGGATATTAATACTTAGATATATCATGCTCATCACAGCTTTTGTTCTTTCATAATATACTTCTTCCGTAAATCTCTTTTGATACTTTGTCTAAGAATTGTCACATCGTCTTTGTTTATCGTTTTTGTTGTTGTTGTAGGGTTTAACGTCATTTCAGCACAATATAGGCTATACATATCGGCCAGAATAAATGGTGGAGGAAAAAACCTGTTAAACCCCGGGAAGAACCACCGACCCACGAGAAGCTGCTAGCATGCTTTTTCGCGTACTCAAGTTAGCCCAGCGTGAGGCTCGAACCCACGCAGACAGAGGTGAGATTGCAGTGATAAGGAACGGTGATCGCTTTAGACCACTCGGCCACTCGGAGCACCGTCACTGTAACTAGTGAGTTCATTACTTTTTCATTCCACGTTTTTGGCAAAATCCTCACGTTTTTGCACTGAAGCCAGGGTAGAAGAAGACCGCAAAATTTATCACGCACGACTTTCTGCATGTGTTAGTATCAAATTTAGAATGACGTGGGAAATAACCCACTGTGAAAAGTGAAATTCCGTACTTATACTTAAAGATAGAGGTTTTAGTTCAGTCTCAAAAGCACGAAAGTGTGACGTGTTGCCACGAAAAAAAAATAGGACGATTCAACACTAGCCAAGCCATACACTTAGAATAAAAACACATACGATCTTGTGAGTGTGCATGTGTGTGTGTGGAGAGAGAGAGAGAGAGAGAGAGAGAGAGAGAGAGAGAGAGAGAGAGAGAGAGAGAGAGAGAGAGAGAGAGAGAGAGAGAGAGAGAGAGGCTGAATGTATGTTTGAAAATTGCAATTATCAATGTATAAATTATCGTGAAAACGTCTTACGGTCCACTTGCTAGTTACGTCTCAGTCTACACATTTAGGCGAATCGTGACGCTAATATTTTGTAGACGCGAGAAATCTATACAAAAGTGTAAATTAGACATTCTTTCTAAGCGATTTTCGGCCATTTTACAGGAAACAATCTATATCGCATGATTTTTTTTTTTGCATTTTTAATTGGACAGAAAATAAATTCAACAAATTTCAAATTAAATGAATAAACGTTTATTAAACAATGCCACTTGAAATGTTCCCCATAATTTTAGCTACTAACATTAATTAACGTAGTTATATGAGGTGATCTGGGAACAAAAAGACTCTTGAGGGACAATGAGAATTTAACATGGAATAAAATCTTGGCGATGTGAGACGACTGGACGACTGGGGGACAATCGAGTATTTCGCGACAGTGGGGATTTAAAATAGGAGAGACTCTTGTGTGATACACGAAATTTAACATGGGAACAGTACTTAGTGGGACAGAATAGTTGACAAAGAGACACCAATGTTTAGCGGTACAAACAAACATGCACATTCACAAACACATTTACAATACAAAGAAAAAGTTTTGGTAAGAAAGAATGAGTATCCTCTCGAGGCATAGGAGGGAGGGGGCATGAAAAGAGCCGTTGGGGTTTCTTCTACTTTGTCCCTGACGTCCAGTCAATCCACTATCCCCTCAGTTTGTCTAGGAACTTTCCTTTCTTTTTCTAATCAGGTATCCATTCAGGATGACCCAGCTTTATAAATTTCTCGTGGACCTTCATCCATTTGGCATTCGTAGTCTTCCTGTATACTGTTGTTCTCATTTTCTTCCATTTCCGTAGTTAAATTAGTCTCAATCTTGCCTGCTTTCTCTTCTTCAATTACTTGGTTCTTTGTAACGCAGCTACTTCACGGCGAACACGATTTAGAATTTACCGCAGGGCCTCTATGTGCTACAGCAGTTACTCTACCATAAAACCTGCTACTTCCTGTAGCCCTTCAGTCTTGCTATCTTCACTAGCAGCAGGAGGAGCTGAGCGGACCAAATTATTTCGGTCAACAAACCACTCTACCCAAAAGAGTCAGCCTAAAAGCTGCCATTCATCATTCTGAGATTAAAAAAAACTATCTGATGTATATAGACACCCCCAAAAAATGCAAAAAATCAGGGGTACGGGGGGGGTGTTGCCCATGTCGGTGACCCATGAGAGGGGCTGAGCTTGTGGTCAAAAAAGTCAGCTGAAAATTTTATCCAACCCGACACGATATCGCGTCCGAGGGTCGTGCAAATTTATTGTAATAAACCCGTGAGGAGTTCGCTGAGCATGACTGAAGAAATCTTTAAATGTATTAAAGTCCATATCTGAACACCATGTCTGCCAGATATTTCTCAACGTATGATTATCAACCCCATTGAACACGCACAGAAAATTACAATTATCGCGAATAACTTTAGGAATTGGAGTATAACGCTGCGTCAAATAAAACATGTCGGCGTGTTTATGACGACCTCGGGAAAACAGCAATGCTGGTCCTTTCTGATTATCCAAAATGACATCATCAAACACTATCATATTGTTTAAAGATACATCTAGATCATCAACATGAGGACATTCCGTTACATCGTATATAAATTCTACTGGATCGTATCCCAATCTCTCTGACATCCTTTCACCAAATTCCTTCAACACTGTATAACAATCTTGATCGTCTGCACTTGGCGCTATCACATACAATTTATCCCACTTGGTATGCCTCGTGACAAGACTAAGCAGCAGCTGCGTTTTGCCCGACCCTGACGGTCCCACAATAACACCTCTAATTGAATTCGGTAGCATTTCATGATGCTTGATCTTTTGTTTATCCTTCTTCGCTGAAAAGTCAAGAACTTCCATTTGATTATACAGTAATAAATATTATGGATTTATATTGTGTTAAGTGCAAGACACGTACTGGTACAAATGACCTAACGACGGTTGTAACTAAAAATAATAGAACTGCTGCGTCTGGAACATGTGTTACATGCGGTACAAAGAAGTTTAAATTTATTAAAAAAAAGTGGAGGAGATATCGCCGCAAGACTCGCTAAACTCCCAGGTACCCCTTGGGCTAAATATCCCGGAGAAAAACATCTCCCTGGATATAACTACTGCGGACCCGGTACCCGTCTAGATATCAGACTTGACGAAAATAATCAACCACGCCGTGGAGAATTTCCCGTCAACGCCATTGATGAAGCATGTAGAATACATGACATTGCATACAAAAGCAACGATCTACAGCAAAGACACCTCGCTGATGTCAACTTGATTCATGCGCTAAATTCAATAAAAATAAAAACCTTAAAGAAAAAGTTGCTTCATGGATTATTTAGTCTGCGATGAAAGGTAAATTGTTAGTTGGTGCGAGTGTTTAAATAATGGCAGCAGAAATGCAAGCATTTCGAAGAATGAAAAAAATGTATTATTCTCCGCGGGGATATTACAAAGGAGTATCAGCGGTAGATAAATTGTCCATCGCGGCTAAAGTTCCACGTGACATAGCAGCAACATGGCTATCTAAACAGGCCATATGGCAGATTTACTTACCACGGCCGAAGTCTATCAAATATGGATCATTTGATGTTTACATTCCAAATGAAGTTCATCAAGCAGATATTTTATATTTACCGCATGATAATGGTTTCAAATACGCGCTAACGGTAGTTGATATAGCTTCTAGATACAAAGATGCTGAACCACTCCGCACAAAAAAATCTGCAGAAGTCGCGCAGGCATTTAATAAAATTTACAAACGTGGTCCGCTTACATGGCCGACTTTACTTCAAGTTGATCCAGGTAATGAATTTCGCGGAGAAGTAACATCAATGATGACAGAAAAAAATGTCACCATCCGACGTGAACATACTGCAATCCATCGTGATCAAGCTATCGTTGAACGATTCAACAGAACACTCGCTGATAAAT